AGGAAGGTAAAACGATTTTTCATTTCCTCCTGCATTTTGTTTTCTAGTAGCTCTTGCTGACATTATTCTACCTGTATCCTGGACACTCCTTGAAATTTTTTTGCTTCTTGATTCTCATATATGACCTGTACTTTTGAACAACTTATATACTAGATTCTAATGCCACCGTGAGCCAGTAAAATTGACTGGTCCTGCCTTAATTAGAGTTGTTTATATGTATATACATTTACATGGTCTGTTATTCGGACTCACCCACCTACATTAAAATATCAACCTTGGTGTAGCTGAAAATAAAATATATAAATTTGGTAAAATATACTGTTATTAAACATATTTATGTTGCCTGGTCATGTTATTTTACCCTTGAGTGGTTGGATGATGCAATGTTAGATTCTTTCATTTCATTTGCTTGTGGTCGTAGTGTATTTGCACTCAAATTTAATGTAAAAGTTTCATATCAATTAGTATTATTACCTATTTAAAAAGGTTGTCTATTAATTTTTTTCTCATCAGTTCAAATTGATTACTTCTGCAGGATACACATGGCACCTTTCAGTGATGAATATTTGTTTGTTGAAATTGCAAATAAGGTGTGTATGCCATCATCATGTCCTCTTTATTTATATATAGAATAACATAATGGATGACCATTCAGGAAGTTCTATCCTACCAGCCATGTCTAATGCAGTTTACTAGATTGCTGTTATAAACTTTTAGTGTAATCAGTTTCCTACCTTTGTTCTTTAGAAGAAATGTACATTATTGTTTTTGTTTTCTATATATACAGGCCCTCTTCTGGCAGCAACAAAATTATTATGGTGTTGATTTGCAACCGTTGTATGCATCTGCATTCCAGGGATATTTTTCACAGGTCTATATTATTTCTTACGCATCTCTAAAATTTATTGGAATTTAGTGTGCCATCCATTATTTTGTTGAACTAGCTTAATTGTCTTCAACCGATGAACTTTGAGATATTGTTCTCTTTTTGTAACTATGATTCCCATGCCTAGGTTACGTAAGAACTTTAGTAATAAAAGCTTCTATTTATTTAGAGTAATTCCTTGTAGTATTTCCTGGTATCTTCTTAATCATATTCCCATGAGAATTAGGCGTTTGAAGCAAAGAGGAACTTGAAATGAACATTCTGCTTTCACTGTTTTCTGAGATACAAAATGTACTAGAGGACAAACCAAATAAAACTTGACGTGTCACCTAGTGCATCTCCAATTCTTCCTGATCTGGTTAAACTCATGGCATGCTCTTCACTATTCATGGTATTGTGAAATAAGGGGTAGCTAGATACCCTCTGCCATCATAATTTAAGAGCCCAATTCCCTTTTAGTTGATCGGTATGGTTTTGTAAGATACCAAACTACTTTTATTGATTTACCCCAGCCTTTTATCTAGGGTTCCGTTCTACAAGTTTAATATCTGTAGAAAAAGTTTGAGGCATCTCTTAAATAAAAAAATAAAAAAAAAGAGCTCTGGACATATGTGGCATCAATATTTGTCTTGCCGAGGATTTTCCAAATCCCTAGATTTCTTTGGCTGAATTGCCTTGGTGAGTGATCGTTAAACGCTTCCAGGTTCTAGATTTGTGTGCTTAAATTTTTTTTTTGGCTGTTGTTTTGGTTGCTAAGAATTGACGATGTGCTGAATTAATCTTGTTTTATTTTCATACAGCCTGTGGTAGATGCTTTTGATCCAAGATTATTGGTGGCTCCTTCAATGTCTCATGTGATTGACTTTACCAAAATAAATGAAGAGGACTTGTATGAATTCGATATACCATTACGGTTTGTTGCTGCTGTAGGCACTAGAGTGCATGGGTTAGCATGCTGGTTTGATGTCTTATTTGACGGGAGGTAATCATCTGATTTTAATGAATAGTATTGTGCATTTTCAGTGGGCTTGATTGCTTTTGCATATTCTTTCCGATTCAAATTTGTGCACCTCCTGACTACTTTCACACCGCATATGGACAGTACTGTACAAAGGTGGCTTACCACTGCGCCTGGTGCACCAACAACTCACTGGTACCAATTACGCTGCGTTCTCTCTCAGCCCATTTATGTAATGGCAGGACAAGAAATAACTGGCCGACTTCACATGATTGCCCACAATGCGCAAAGTTACACAATATATCTTACATTGGCAGGTCAGTTTTTATCTACTTGTTTTGGCTGTGGATTTCTTTTGCTGGTTTACTAACTAGTTACGGTTTCACTCTTCAGCTAAAATGTGGGGGCCTGGTGCTGAGCAGGGAGGAATAATTCAGGAATCCTCTTGTAAACTTGATCTTAAAGAGCCATACTATAGAATGTCCCAACCACAAGCCTATACAATAACCCAAGATCAGCAACCACATCAGCAAATACAGGCACAGGTATAGGCTAACACCGCAAACTGGACTCTGTTCTGATTTATTTGAATTGACGTTTTTGAGTCAAAGAATAATGATTTAACTAAATCGCCAGGATCTCTAGGAGCAAAAAAATTTGTATTCGTACCAGGTTGTGTCCTGCATTTGTTTGCAATTTCCATGCCGTTCTTCTGGCCATCGTAGTGTACTAACTTGGTTTGTGTTGTTATAGGATATACCAATTCACTCTCAGGATTTCGAAGATTCAGAATTTATTCCACAACCATCACCAAGTTCTGGCGTAAAGATGACATTGGCAGATTTTGCTAGATCCACTGGTTCGTTGAAAGACACTTTATGATATGGGCATCTCTGTTTGTAACATAGAAACCGCTCTGCTTTAGCAAGTGCTGCTATGGTTCCCCGTTAGTCCCCGCCACTTCCCCAGTTAATTGGTCTCTCCCGCATTTACATGTTAGGGCTTAACCCTGTAAATTAGATATTCATTTGAGTGCTTGTGCAGCAGATTTGTGCAATTTTTATCGTGATCTCCAGCTTATCAATAAAACTCGGTCTGTTGCAAAATATTTTCTAGGCTTGGGGTCATGGGCATTCTGCAATATGCTTCCCAACTGATTTACAAAGGAAAATTTTGAAATGAGAAGACACCAGTAATGCCATGCAAAGTTAGGTCATGGCCATTTGATGTCTTTTTGCTATGTACCCTCCCGATTGGACGTGCTCTATTCCTTGGAGTGCGGTATTGAAGGACAAGCAAATGATGAGCTTGATCTTCTCTATTGGTAAGGCTAATTTCTAAACAGTATGCAGATTGTTGTGTTTGTATGATAACCTGTTGCACACATTTAAAAAAACTGGGGTGTGCATGGTTTGAAATCAAATTTGCATAATGTAAAATTGGATTGCGGATTTTTCAGTTCAATCCAATCTGATTAGAGCTTAGGAGCGGATCTAATGTATATTGGATTGCACTATCGGTTTTAATAATGGAAAAATACATATTGAGACATAAAAATTATATATATATATATATGTATATTTTGTGTGGACATATCTGAAAATTGAGACGTTAAAAAGGTGTTTTGGTTCTATAATATACTAGAGTATAAAGTTGTTCATCATAATTTATCATTCCATTGCAAATGCTTGTAAAAGAAAAAAAAGAAGTACGAAACCAACCAGATTATTGAAAATGGTAAAATAATTGAATTGAATCGGTCGTTTTAGGTCGGATTAGATTGGATCTTGATAAATCATAAATAACTCTGAAGACCATGGAATTGCCCAAAAATCTACGTAACACAGTAAAAAGAAGAATGTACGCTCTGCAATTGGAAATTAACCACATGCCTTATTTCTAAAAAAGTAGGGACACATTAGAGGACATTCCATGTAGATTAAAACTTGGATTATTGTATTATTGGTTGTAATTTTCGACAAAATCTCCAACGGATGCTGTACAAATGAATGCTCTAGGCAATAATATACTGTACAAAAGCCACTCGTCTGCTCAACCCAAAAGGGAATGGATTTGAAGTAAAATCGTACCGGAATACTATATGGAGAACAAATCTTGAATCTGAGTTATGCTGTCTACAGCTCTTACACTTTAATCTCAACTGACCACAGCTACAGCTGGAGATTGTTGAATATCAACCACATTATAACAGCGGCGGCAAAGGGTGCTGTGCTCTGGAAAGGAACCAACTTGAGGCGAATAATTCCAGCATCTTTCGCACTTTAAGCCCTCGGCACGAGACACTCCGATCCAGACTCTGATATTTCCTTCGATGACGTATTCTCCTTTATAGGGTATATCTTCAATCAGCTTATTCTCCAAGGAAGGAAGAACCTCTGCCTGCATATAAACAAATGTAAACAGCATCAATATAATGTTAAAATCTCCAAGTTCAAGACAACAATTGCAGTTATATAGCTTGTTTCTGGTGTCAAGGTTAGAAATTTGAACTTACCTGAGATGTTATGAATATACGATGCAATGTGTCTGCGTCGTTGTTGGCTGCAGACATTTCAACTAACCTAGAGGCCAGACTGGAATCAGAAGTATAGAGGTAGACCTTGGCATCTAAACTGGAGCCAATTAACTTTTCTGTACGGGCAACCTCCAGGACTCTATTCACCTCGGTTCTCAACTGGTCACAAGTGCATAAGTATTAGAAACAAGTGAAATACATTGAGACAGATGTCAGCCTGACATACTTTTTCAATGTTATAAGAGCATTCTTCTAGCATAAGCAATCAGATATCTACATTATTTCACAGGTGAATACATGCTCATCAATAAAGTATTGCCAAAAAGGAAATAAACACACAAAAATGCACGAAATCAGACCCCAAAATTTCAGTTAATTTTCACGCTATACAATCTCTAGCAATGGAAATGCCAAACACTTAAAAACATCAAATTTTTTTACATGCTACAGAACATCTTATGCTCTCCAAAACGTAGTGATAAGATAACATAGACATATTGGAACTAGCTGTCTCCTTTTTTATCTGAATGCTCACAGTATATTTCTGGCTTAGAGGGGAAACATAGACAATTAAGTTCAAGAGCATTAAGTTTATGATATCAATTATTTTTTTGGCAGAAAACAAAAAACAAATACAGTTCAAAAATTCCAAGAAGATTCCCCTTAAACAACCACAAACCCAAAATTGGACTAGTGTGTAACCATTAGATGAAAATGGTAATTACCTCAAGAACTTTTTCCCAGAAATCAGTTTCCTCCTTTGGAAGAGAGAGCCGTGTTTTGTTCAAAGCTGGCCATCTTGACTCAAAAACAAATTCAGCAGCAGAGCCATCTTCGTCGGTGTACTGGAACGGAAGGTTTTGCCATACATCCTCAGCCAAATGGGGCAATATTGGAGCAATCACTCTCACAATAGAAAGGAGAAGTTCCGCAAGAACTGTTTGACAACTTCTCCTAGTAAAACTTGTCGTGCCCCTGAAAATGATAAACTATGCTTCATCACTACTTGTGGGGAAAAGAATACAAGATCACAAGCCAAGTTTAATTTAATGATGAATCTGATGAAGGATTATAAATACACAGAAGTTCAATATGAACACTTCAACCTCGAAAGGGGACATGAAGCTGACCTTTGCAATATAATGTGCCCAATCATGTGTATTTTTGTATCAAAGTCATTTTTGTCAAAGAAAATTCATTTCATTTTAATATTCCACCACATTGAGGGAATATATTCACACAACCAAAAATTAACTCCCCTCCCAAACGAGAATTGAAGGAGACAAGCAAGTCTATAGAAAATGAAAACTTGAATTGTAAAAACATATGCGCATTGTTAGGGTGATAGAATTAAAGTAAAAGAGTTATGCACTTGCTTAGAAACTGATAGATAGAGCAGGGGAAGAATTACCCAACGTAAAGGCGATCTTTGGCGACATCAAAATAGAAATTCGACAGGTCAACAATGACAAACCGCTGTATGATCTGAAAATAAGAAGCCAATCAAATAGTTGCATGGTAATGTTTTCCAGCTAAACTAAGGGCTAAATGGACACATGAACAAGCTTCAGCAGCCACAACCCTTGAGAGATTTACTGCCATGCTTTTTAAAATGATTTTCCCAATGCCTCAGATTTACCAAGAATTGAAAATTTATTTTCTATGCTTTCTTTTAAAGAGGATAAACCCACCATACATTTACACTCTTTTCTTCAACATATTTATTATTTGGTTTATGGACCAAATACACAAACTTCCGTCTGCCATAATGGCATTTGTACATTGCTTCTATGAATTGGCACACATCAAAGCACATATTTACCCTCTATACCCCCTCCCTCCCTTTAAATTGCATTACAAATCTCAGTTTTTGTGAGTCTATGTGATTTTCCTGTCTTATTCAACTCCCAATTTTCAGACAAAGAAAAAAATGTAAAGTTGATACATCTGTGACCATATAAATCTAGGAGCCATTGGAGAAAAAGAGCCTTTTGAACAATGCTATCATCTCATTGAGTACAAGATTGAAAATTATAAACAGAAACATAACAAAATAAAACCAACAAGATTAAGAAGTTCACCTGAAATATCTTAAAGAACTGATAGTTTTCATAGCATTCTCTACTGTTCTTTACAAAATTTTCAAGCTGAAACAGTGCATGCTGGTCAATCATGGGTAGATCGTGGTATGAAATAGTGGTATCAGCCTGCCAACAGGATGTAGTTATAATAAGTAAAAACAACAGACTAAGAGAAGTGCATGAAACAGCATTGTCACTTGCAGTGTAACAAAGAAGAAGTTAATTTGCTTTAAACGAGTTGTGTGCATGCTCATCAATCTGTGTATGCGGGAGAGAGAGAGAGAGAGCAATTATAATATTTCCATGTAATATATTTATCCACCACGAGGTAGTAAAGATGGGAAGTCTTAAGATGAGCAAATATGTAGAACATACATGCCAATCATGCAGATTTCCCAAAAGGTATCTCAGTGTTCCTCGCAGCTTCCTATATATATCTGACATTTGACGGAGAATTTGAGGGCCGATCGTTACATCGCCTGTATAATCTACACTCGAAACCCAGAGACGCAGGACATCGGCTCCATAGCCATCCTGCCAGCAGGGAAACAAGACTTGAGTATGCAGATACTGTTGGAGATTGCTTCAGGGGTTAAATGAGTAGGTTTCAAATTCCCTTTACAACAATTACTGACCTTTTGGTTCTTCCCTCCTTCAATCACGGTTCGTGGATCTACAACGTTACCCAAAGATTTGCTCATTTTTGAACCCTTCTCATCCAATACAAATCCATGTGTTATAACACTGGAATATGGAGCCCTTCCTGTATCAAAGAAAAGTGACAGACTCATGTCGTGTATCTAAACAAATATTTTTCTTGTAAAATAAAATCACCCTCATTGGCTTAGAATCCATGCAGAAGAATGAACACCTGCACAGAAACAAAATTATACTAGCATTGCAGAAACTTTAAATCACACTCCCTCCAAGTTCAACTACTGTAGTAAGAGACTAAAGACTACAATGCAGCAGTCAAGATATTTAATTCCAAAGATCTAACGTAGCAACCCATCTTCCATATAACCTTGGTTTGTATTCCCAAAGTACCATTCTTATTCACCTATGATGTCAAAACTCAAAGTGCAAGGGATATGAAGATAATGCAATGGAAGGATCGACATGGCCTTTTGACCATAATTTTTCTACATAAATCGTGTTGGGGGAAAAAAACAGCCGTAACATTTGTGATTCTTTTTTCTGTCAAAAGGTTTAAAACCAACTGCTTTGCATAACAGAACAAACCACATCAGGGATGGGTGGTAATAAAGGGAACCACAGGAAGTGTAACTGTCATAAATAAACCACTGGGCCTCCAATGAAAATGTGGAAAGCACTCTTCCCTAAAATTTATCACTGCAAACACTAGGAGTAATCCAAAATGTGCTATTTATACAAAGAAAACCACATTCAAATTTGCACAGTGAAGAATTCCGCAAAATACCATACATGAACATGTCCGGATTGCCATTACCTTTGGTAGCAACACTTGTCAGCAAAGAACTCTGGAACCACCCCCGATGCTGATCCATACCTTCAAGGTACAAGTCTGCAGGAAGACTATGGCTATTTCTTTTTCCCAATACAGCAGCCCAAGAAGAACCTGAAACATAATGTAACCATTTATTTAAATGCATGTAAATAAATACAGGAGATAAAAATCATGGAGTCGAATTGCAGTTACAGAACCGAAAAGCCAGATGCAGTTATAGAACCGAAAAGCCAGATGCAGTTATGAACATGCATCCAAAGTAGTAAAACACTTACTGATCAAATAAATAATATGGCAAGTGAAAAGACAAAGGCTAAAAGTCACTTTTGGTCCCTGTAGTTTGGCACTTCAATCACTCTTGACCCTGTAGTTTCAATTTCGTCAATTTTGACCCCATAGTTTCATATTTGTAGCAATTCAAGGACAAGTTAGTATTCCTTTCA